GCAGCCATCTGATACTTGATTTCTGTCTGCCTGAACTCCTCCTGACATCTCATTCCCTCTGTTTTTTTTTCTTTCATAGCAGCGCATCCATTCCTCAGAGAGTTTCCCTTACAGCTCTGTTTACAAACCATTGTCGAACACTCTGTGACCGATGTGGAGAGGGTGACTCCAGCAAAATATGGTGTCTGCCAGGGCACAGACGTCATTGCTGAGTCACAGAGGAGCCAGAGCCAATGGGCTGGCCAGAGAGGGCCAGGGATGGGTCAAGGACGGGGAGCTGCAGGTGCAGGAAAGGGTTGACTGGTTTGGGGGTGCCATGTGACCCAACTCCTATGGGGGGGTTGAGGGGAGCTCAGCAGCCACCCTGCTACCACTCCTCTGATCTCCCTGTATCTTCACCCTCAGGGGTCAGAGTTCCCCTGCAAGATCAACACTGGGGACAGAATAATAAACTCTGGGCGCATCTTGGAGACCCGGTCTACCTAGAAGCGGCCAGAGTTTATTCATCTTAAGTGGGAATCTGCGAAACATGACGTTTAGGATAACAGCCTTGTTTGGTTTTTCCATGAGAAAGTAGCAGCTCTTGGCTGGGCTCCACGTGCTCACAGCTACCTAGCGCAAGCCCTCCCACAGAAGGGTCCTCCATCACATGACCAGGCCTGGGGACAACCACCCTTCCCATGGTGCTCATGTTCCTCTCATGTGCCCCCTGGGGCCTGGGGGGGTTCAGCTGCATAGAGAGACACATCTGCTTCTCATCTCCTTGGGAAAGTTCCCCTGATCCTGCTGATTACTGGGCTCCTTCAGATTTAGCTGCCTGGCTTCTCCAAGGCTCCACATTCGCAGCCTGGGTCCCCGAGGCCTTGTTGGCTCGGTTCCACTGTAACCCTTGGTCTGGAGCAAGCGGAACCTTTGCCTGGGCCATAGTAACACGCTTCAGGAGGAGGGGACCTCATTTCCTGAGTGGGGCTGACGAGGGGATTTCAGAGAGGCAGTGACTGACTGCAAGCTCTGGAGACGGGAGTAAAGTCACCACACCGAGCCAGAGACAGCCATAACTCCACTGGAGGACCAGCAGTGGATAGATGCTTCAGCATCTTTATGATGGCTCCTCTTAACCTTCCTCAAGTTGTTATTGTAAGCCTGGCGTGCCACTCAGTGAAGCCCTTCAAGATCCAATGCACTATACCATGACTTGGAGTACTTCTACATACTGAGGTCAGGAAAGGGACACCACCAGTTCTTTTAATACTTACTGGAGTTTGTACTCTGGGATCACACAATACTAATAGGGGTTCAAATGAGGGGTAGCATTAAAATAATAACTTTGCATGAGTTAACCAGCCACAACTACATGAGTAATTTACACATTGTTTTATAGAATTGCAACAGTCTCCCTCAGTTTACATCAGCAACTATTTAGTCATTTTATCACATATAAATTAATTATTCACAATTAATCATTTACCAGTGCTGTGATTGTCGACAACTGGTTAGCAAGAGTAGTTTTATAGTCTGAAATAAAACTACCCAACCAATTGATCACATTGGTTAGTTTGTAAGCAGGTGACTGGCCAAGGAAAGGTGAAAATATATGCCTGTACCTGGGCCAGAGTGGGGGCTAGAGTCAGGCTTTCACAGCTTGTTGGGCCAGAGCATCATAATCTAATTTCAGTTAACAGCATAACATCTTTATACATCCCTCACGTCAATACCACAATTATAGGGCTATCAGTTCAATCCACCTTTAAGTCATGAGCAATTCCACAGAAGAAACCCCTGGCTTCCACCATTTCTGTTTTTGGAATGGTGTGACTGGAAAGATTGTCCTTCTCACCTGATCTGTAATCATGCAAGACTCCTGGGTGAGCAATACCTGCCAACAAGAATTCTCTAATAATTTTAAGGATTTACCTTTAAGTGCTGTGATTGTCCTGGATAAGCACACCCAGTACTTGGAATGTTTGATGGGTGGGTGAATGGACAGGTAGGTAGGTGGGCATATAGGTACATGCTGTGATACAGAGCTTTGTGCCATGTCCAGGGGTGTGTGTCGAGAGGACCCTGTGTCTCCCAGCTGCTGCCATACAGCTCAGTGTGCTACTCTGTTTATTTTCCCCTGATTAGTGCTGCTTATTTTCACTCTTTCGCACTCCTCGCGCCTGAGAGCGTCCGTGACCTGCTTCTCCTCAACACTTTCCTCTCCCCCTGTGGTCTCCATGCTTATCAAGTCCACACTTTCGCCCAGACCCCGCCTGTCCCAGAAACACATGCTCACACCCTGCGGAGTGCCGTGCCACCACACTGCTGCCATGTGTTCCACACTGTCCTCTTTTTGTTTGGCCACCATCACTAAACGCAGTGGCTGTATTTCCATCAACACGGTCCGAACATCAGAAATGGTTAAACCAAACTGGCTTACTAACTAGGGAAGTTGAAACTTAATATTCCAGGTTAGAGAGTCCACCTCGTATCTATGATAGAGAGGCGTGTTTGTGAAAGGACATGGCACACAGCGCACGAGTATATACTATGGATATTGAAACAAGCACAGGGCCAATGGCAGTGAGTGGGCTGTTACTGTCTTTTAGCACCTCTCATTTTTATTGCTTTCCTTCTGAGAATACACAGGTCTCCTAATCGCAGTGTCCATGTATTATAAAGCTGATTACACACACATACAACGATCAGTCAAAAACCATTGGTTTCCCAGTATAACTTGTAGTTACTTCAGTGTGTCTTGCACATAGTCTGTAGTCACCCATTGTATATTCCCATTTTAAGAGCAACTATTCCCCTTCTCACTGTCTCACAGAGGCCCTGTCGGTTGATAACACTGCGCACTTAGCATACCCAACAAAGATAGATAACTGCTAACTGGCGAACAGCAGACTGTAAACCAAAGAGACCAAAATGTGAGTTAACATGCCAGGAGCGTATATGGCCTGCATCACTAGGGATCAGACTTTTAATAGTCTAGGAATAGGGCGCTGTTAAGGGGTCGTTGTACATAGGCTGCCGCTCCCCCCAGTGCCAAAGAAAAGAAGAGAAGCTGAAAAACAGATCCTCTACCCTCCGCGCAGCAGCTTACCGACATCTCCTAGACTTCATTTAGGGATTTTGTAGGACTTTACGCTCCTGGTGGAGCTGCAATGTGATATCTCTGGAGGATTTCAGTCACAAGGGAGTTATTTCGCTCCAGCCCAAAGTCACTGCACAGAGCAAACTTCTCCCCGGCTTTAAAATCCATTGTCAAAGCAAAAACACCCTCAGGACCACATGCAGAAGTAGAGCCAATCTCGATGTTTGGATTCTCTTTACGGAAACATTTGTGTTTCCTCTACCAGCTAAAATGATCCCCTTTCATTTGGTGTCACTTTGGAAGATAAGCAGAACGTGTAAAGAACCTGTTAAATGTTAGATTAGGCAGGAGAGATTATTGCTTCAAATGAGACTCATGGATCCCTGGGCTTTTCACATGGCCAAAAACACTGGCTGGTACGTGCACTTCATGAAATCACCTGCATGGTTTGCATGGTTTATTCGATGTAATTCACAGGGTATTGGGTAGTTCTTTTAAATGCTTCTTTCAAGCTGAAGTGGAAGTGGGGTAAGAAGAGCAGGGAGCGGCAGCGCAGAAAGCAGGGGCTCAGAGCTCGTGAGACGCCAGCAAACGGGGAGGCCCGGTGAGAGCTGCAGTTTCCTCCGCACCCCTCCGCTTTCTCACAATCCCGTCCTCGCCACCAAGGAGCTATTTATTTGTTTATTTGTTTGGAGGGGAATGGAAAATCAAACATCAGGCACCAGGGGACGTGCAGACGAACTGTCCTTGGGGCCAAAAAAAAAAATTAAAACGAAGAATTTCCCTGACTAATTTTTTTATGATGTCATTCTGACGTTATCCAACGCTGTCTGTTGCGCAGCAACAGTGTGCCATCAGATGACACCAAAGACTCTGTTGTGCTGTCCTCAACAGCATGGTCTCAACCTGAGAATATTAGTGTATGTGCATTTTGCAACTCGCTCAACTGCCCCTGCTCCCACCCCTGCCCCCACCCCTTCACTGTCCCGTTGTTCTATCTGCACACTGGTGGTCCTATAGGCCACAGTCAAGCCTGGCGCAACGCCATCTGGGAACAGTTGTCACTACCATCTCCCTGGCAGTGACAGTCAGGGACCAAACTATTAATGACCAGAAAGAAAAAACAAACAAACAGACATTGTCAGAAGCAATGAAAGCAACCGTCCAGCAAGTGCACAGTAGCCGGCTTGGTGGAGAGAGGGGCCTTTTTTTAATGGTCGATTGATCTGAGAAAATAGCAGGCTTGGCTTCCAAATTCTTATCAAGTCAGTTGTACTGTGTATTATGTTACATTACTAAGTTTCCACAACTATTTAACTTCCTTCAGTTCCAAGCCCCCCAACCCCCTCCCCACCACCACTTTGTAGGATAACTGGAGGCCGAGGGGCGGTAGCAGCTATTTGGGTAGAAGTCATGTTCTGTACATAAATAAATGTGAAGGCATGGTTTTTGTTGGCTTTAGTTTGTGTAAACATGCTACCATGGATGAATTTCACTCCACGCTTGCCCTGGCCGTGTCCTACTTTTGTTCCTTCTGGCTCCATGTTATGTACCTCGGTCGCTCTCTTGTTTCCCTTCCTGTGAAGCTTTATTGGATCAATAAACTTTTATAAATGGAGTTTACAGAGCGATTGAGGAGGTGCCTTTGTGAGGAACGTGGTGGGCATGCTCCCCGTACATCTCCCTGACCAGCGCGCTAAACGGACTGTAAACGGATCGCTAAGGTGCTGTATGACTTTTGCCGTAATTAGGTCATTTTCCTTTACTTTGTATTCAAGTTTTTTGTGGCTCACTATAAAATTTAAATGCAACTGCGCAGGTCAGGCAGAAAACAGGAATCCACAACAATGTCAGCTTCTGTGTGGAAAACCGTTTGATCCTTACAAGGATCTGTGTTGTTTCTCTTATTGAGTTGAGCAGCAGTGTGGCATAGTGGTAAGGTGCAAGGCTCAGAAGCATAAGGTTGTTGGTTCGATTCCCAGCTAAGACACTGCTGTTGTACCCTTGAGAAGGGTACTTAACTCTCAATTACCTCAGTAAATATCAGGCTGTACAAATGGATAAAATTGTAGCCTGTGTAAGTTGAATTGAGTAAGAGCATCTTATCAATGACAATAATGTAATGAGTTGGATAATATTTTGCCTCCTTAATTAAAAAACGGTGAGTGTCTCAGGCTTTGCAGCGTTGCAGTCCCAACAGTAAGTCACCATGTTTATCAAAAGTCCATTTACTGGTATAGACCGCACTTGTGCCCACTATCACAGTTTCACACATATTCCTTCCAGGATTTCAAAAAAGCCATTCTTGAAACAATGCCAATAATGTATGGAATACATGGGAAGAAGTCAAATCTCTGATGATCCATAAATGACGCACATGACTCACTTAAGAAATGGAAAAGATCAATGGAATGGAAAATATCAAAACCCTAAATGCTGTGAAACCTCTGCCTCTGATGGACGGTAACAATAAAGCAGGTCCTCTTCTGAAGGGTATTATTGCAAATGGAAGTGATATCCTTTGTAAAATAAGCACAAAGTTTAGTACCGTAAGGCATGTGCAAATTCACACTGTTTTCTTTGGATGCAGGCGATGTGTACGTGTTTTGTGTATAAACCTTTTAAAACTCTTACATTTTAACCCCTCAGGGAGGATAAACTGATTAGCAGTGAAAAAAGCTCACTTTCTGCGCTGAAAAAATAAACTGAATATTTTGCACTCGCTTGCTCTAGTGGAGCTGTACGCTATTAAATCAAGCTAGGCCAGCCCTGATTGATTCCCTCACTGTTTTTGTAAGTGTCTTTCACTTTGCAAATCCTTTTTAAAATAAACATGAAAATACAGGCTTTCAAGCCAAATAGTCCATGGTCTGCCATAGCCAGTGGACATGTTAATTGTGTTCTTGACCCTCTGAGATTATTGAAAACATTTCAAGCAGTGACATCACATGTAAATTTTTCTAGATGTTTTAACTGAATTAATTGAGCATGTTTGTGTGTTTTTAATTAACATTAGAGTCAACATTTGTGATGCATGAAAAATTAGAAATTTGGAAGCAGGAAGACTACCATAAAAGAAATTAACAGAATGATTCCATGGCAGTCTTAAAAGGCAGACTAGGGGGTTAAAAGGAAGAATGTATTAGCCTTATAATAGCTATACATTTTATATGTTTCCTGGGGTGAACCTTTTAAAACACATGACCTTTTTAAATTGACTTTTTACAGACAGCTTCTTCTTGATTCCAGGCTTCAATAAAACATGCATCATGAGTGACAATTATTTACTGAACTACTGATCATTTTTAAAAGAACTTTTAAAAGCCCTTTTCAAGCATTATCACACTAGACATTCACCTACCCCTTTTATTCTACATTAATACTTTCCCTAAGCAATGTCCATTCCTCTAGGCAACAGGCCACAGTGTCACCAACAGCTGAGCTATTAGATAAGTGAGGAGAAAGGCAAGGGCAGGGAGAGCTGGACGGCTCGTCAAGAGTCTGGGCAAGTGTGGCCATGGTGTGGCAGAGGTCTGTCAGCAGGCCGGAGCCCCAGTGTGCCACCCCTCCTTGTCTGACACGTGTTGCTCTTTCAGGGCCCGATTTCAATAACAGGGCCAGCAGTGAGAAGCGGAGCAAGCGCTCCACGAGGTTTACACCCCTCGCTTACCCCCATCTGAGGCCTAGCTCGCACTTAGAGGGACCACCCCAGGACACCCCTCCACCCCTCACCCCCTTTTCCCAGGCCACCTCACACTCTCACTCAGCTCACACTTGCCCCTTTTGTTTTGACAAGGAGTGCACCTTTCTCTGGTTACTCGCACATGAGACAAAGAGCTTTTATTTGCCTCCTCGGCCCATGTGGAGGAAGGCAACGGCGATACACAAAGGTGATACACAAAGGCGATTTTCAAAATTAAAACAAAGCCAAACACAACAAAGCCAAACATCTTGCCACTCTGTGTTGGTTTTTGAATCATTAGTGGGATAAATACCAGACCTTTAACACCGTTTCCCCTCTGCCTCCTGCAGGGTGGAAACACATGGAAGCAAACTTTGCTTATTGTTCTTAATGATTTGCCTTGCAAATGTTTATGTGAAACCCACATCAGTAGTGCACTGCACACCAAGATACCTGGACCAGCTGTGATTTGACTTTATGCAAATATTTTAAGATGATTAAACACTGAAATCAATCCAGCTAATACCGAAAATGGACAAAACCAATAAAAGGCAAGAATATCCAGTTGCAAAGTAGCTCCAGGAGTGAGTGTGTAGATAGGTGTTAATGACAAAACCCACAGAAGTCCCAGTCATTTTAGGAGTAAAATGTGCCCTCCCCCAGCCTATTTCCTTTTATTTGCCCTGGACATATGGTACCTCTTACTGGAATGTCTGGATTCCTCAAACCTGGTGTGGATTTAACTCTGCGGTCCGTCCCGGACACAGACGCTCCACTGACTCACGGCATGTCCAGCCTGAGGAACAGACCATGTCATCGCCCGTTAGTTAGGACCCCTGCGTCTTGACTGTAGGATTGTTTGTACAGACCTGCACCACTGTTTGCCTCATTTATCAACCTTACAGATCTACATGGATCATTATAAACTATGATAGCTCACTCTCAGTATTGTTTTTCCTCCTTCACGCAAATGACCAACTGACCACGACTTCCTCCCCACCAGAAGTAATGAAAGCGTGTCTTACACAAACAGTGGGAGCCCCTCTGAAGCCTGCGCTGCCAGGCCGTGGTTCATCGCCGTGCCCAGCTGGAGTGGATGGCCTCACGAAAGGGCCTTTTGATCTGGCAATCTTGGGAATCAGTTCTGAACACAAGTCATCGCAAAGTAATTTCTGTGATTGTTGCCAGCATTTTGCCTGTGTAGCCTTAAACACACACAGGAGTTACAATTTAATGACACTCCAAGTCTTCTGAAACACTCCGTGTTAATGAGAGGTGGTTAGTTGGCCCATGTCATATTCAGCTGCTCAAAATTCTGCAAAAAATTTTCCTTTTGGAAATCAATATTGGCCAGTGTTTCTTTGCAGGAAATTCAAGTTACAGCTGTGTGAAGGTGCATAAGGTCAGAATACTTTTTATACGCGGGCACGGGTCCAAAAACACCGTGTTTTGAATTTCTGTGTTGAGGAAATAATATTACAGACCCTTTGACTAAAATAACGACTGGGCGCACTCACGTGGCCTCGGAATTCCCCTCAAAGAAACAATGCACATGAAATGGGAAGGAATGTGCATGGAAACAGGATGACACCTGACAGCTTTTCAGACATGACAAAGTCTCTCAACCACGCAAAATCATTATGACAATGTGTCGCACGGAAGCGTAAACAGGATTTGACGCAGGGAAAAATCTAAGAGTAGGTTGTGATATAATGTTAATCACCTTAAGCAATAATAAGCAGCTTTTTACTAGGACACCCCCCACCACTGCCTCATGCAGACACGCACACACACACACACACACACACGAACACACATGCATGCTACTGCACTCAGTTTACCTCAGGGGCAACAGGAGAAGTGTCAAGACTATCAAGGCCAATCACTAACAGGAAGATGGGGCCTCAAGGGCAGACTAATGTCAGAACCCAGAGGAGGCGCTGACCAGGTGGTCGACAACAGGCCAGAGCTGTGGCAGTCTAAACACATCACATGCAGAGCTGTATGGCCAGGCCCTGATGACTTGGAGAACCTCTGCAGGAGGGCGCATGGACACCAGTGGTCAGGGTCATTATATCATTCTAGATGAAAGCTTCCAAGAGCTGTGTCCTTAACAACATTGTCTCTCTGTTGTTCTGCTCAGGTTGAGCTCCATACACAGCAGCCCATGAGGAGGCTTACATCAGAAGCAAGAGAGGGTTATATCCTGAAATACATATAATAACATTCTTGAAGATTTATTGGGTGGCCTTGAAATGTTGCAGCGTTTACATCTGAGATGGCGCAGGTTTTTTTCTGAAGTCTGTGGAGATCAATCCAGAAGCATACAATAACGAGCATTTGAAGGAAGGCCCTGGCTCCGAGAAATGCTACAAGCCAGGAAACAGTGCTGTCATTTCAGCAATTCTGGACTGCAAGAGCCAGCCCTTAGCCATAACCTCACTACAGGACAAGAGTCCAGCAAGCTACACCAACGATTGCTGCAAGACTAAATAATCATCCTCCAAGCTTTCTTTCCTCTCTGGTTTTGCTTCACTTCATGTAATGACTAGCTCTTACCAACAGAAGGCCTTTTTTCAGCCTCGCCTCTCCTGGACAGAAGTTTACCGCTGACATAAGGCCAAACCACTGCACTGGTACATAGTTTGTCCTTCTACTTGCAGACAATGCAGTAGAGTCAATACTTCACCCTAATTGGGCCATTCACATGGATCTGGCCCATTTGGATGACAAAATGACCCAGGAGCCGACAGGCAGCTTTGCAGGGTGCCCCTGAGTCTCCCTGCGCCCTGAAATGGCAAGGAACCCACACAGTGCACCGCTTCGGAGAGCGGACTTGTGAGCTGCCTAATAATGATGAATGGGTACCATTAATGTTGTTCAGCTGTTTACCTTTTTTCCGCAATCTCAGAGAATGGGTGGGGGGCAGGGTGGAGATGGTGGGGGGTTAGCGGGCTGAAAATGTGCTTATTTCGGCACCCCGGTGCCTGATAGCCACCCATTAGACCCCCATAACATCAACAGCGGCTACAGAGTGTGCACAGGAGTCATTTGCTGAGCGTTGACCCTCCGACCTTCCACACTGCTTTTCCCCAGAGCCTGTAGCTGTAATGCTTATCAGTGGCTCATACTGCTTTTGTCAAGCACTCTTTAGTACCTACATTCCTAGGAAAAATAAACCCCTGCTCTGGTTTCATCCTCTTTAATTAATCTCAGGCATGATGCCCCCTTCAAAGGTCTTGCTGCTAATAGTCCAAACATCGTCCATGAGGTGGGATGGAAGCAACCTGTTTGAAGTCATTCATCAAAGCGCT